TGGAAGACAAACTAATGAAACTGACTCTGGAGGAAATATAAAATTTGAATAGCATCTATTAAAGAAAGTATATTCTTAGCTTGAAAACCTACCTATATGACAACAACAGGCTCATATACATTTTAACTGATAAATTATGTCAAACATTTAAAGTAGAAAAAAGAAGGAACACTTCTCCCCTCATTGTAGGAAATCAACACTGTACTAATACTAAAACTGGATGAAGATAATAGAAGAAAAAGCATGAACATAAATAAAATTTGTTTAACAAAACAAACTATTAGAAGTCCAATCTGGCAGTATGTAGTAAGTGGTTTTATTACAGAGATAGCAGTGTTGGTTCAGCATTGGAAGTCATCATTTTAACAAAGGAAAGGAAAAAGCCATATGATCCTATCAGTAGTTGCAGAAAAAGTATTGGTCTAAATTGTACAGCTGTTCATGGTAAAAGCTATCAGGAGACTAGAAGTAGAACAGAACTTTCTGAACAGATCAAAGACATGTACTCCATACTTCCAGCAAAAACGCCTTATATGAAAGGAAAAGATACAATGCTTTCTCCCTAAGGTGGGGAACAAGGGCAGATATGCCTACTCCTCATCTGTCCATTAAACTTTGAAACATAGACCTAAACCAAAATAGTCTGGCAATAAAAAGAAACAAATACCATAGGATTGGCAAGGTAGAAGTAAAATCTTTATATGTAGATGAAATGATCATCTACAGAGAAAATACTAAGAAATCTCTAGGAACCCCTAGAACTTGTATTTGAATTTAGCAGGATTAGAAAACACAAGGTCTATACAAAAATTCAGGTCTGTGTATACTTGCTATAAATGAAGAACTGGATACTGAAATTTAAAAGTTATGTAGGAGTAGAAAGGACCTGGAAAAGTAAAAAGAAAAAAAATAACAATGTTGGAAGACATTTATTACCTAATTTTAAGACTTCTTCCAAAGCTACAGTAATCAAGGCAATGTTGGCATAAGGAAAGACACAGATCAATGGAATAAAAAAGAGAATCCAGAAATAGAACCACATATGTATGGTCTACTGAGTTTTGAAAGATTATTTAACATTAACATTCTATAGAACATAAACTCAACTCAAGAGCAGAGGAAAAGATAATGTTTTCAACAAATGGTACTAGAACACCTGGTATCTGCATGTAAAAAATTAACCTCGACCCTTTATTTCCATACATAAAAATAACTTGAAAGGATCTATGAATCTAAATATGAAGACTAAAACTATAAAACTTTAAGAAGAAATTATAAGGGAAAATGTTCATGAATTTAGGGTAGGCAAGAATTTCCTAGGATACAAAACCATGATGTATAAAAGAAAAAAATTGATAAATGAGATTCTATCAAAATTTAGAACTTTAAAAGACATTGTTAAAAAATGAAAAGTAGTCCTTAACCAAAACATGTATTTTGTTTGGCACAGGGGATCGAACTCGGGACCTTGTGCTTGCGAGGCAGTTGGTGGAACCACTGAGCTAAATCCCCAGCCAACCAAAACATATTTATAATACATACAACCTATGGCCAGAATATATAAAGAACTCTTACAGCTCATTAATAGACAAATCAATTAAAAAGTAGACATAAGAAGATGATAAATAGCCAGTACAGCACAAGGAAAGGTGTGCAACTCTAGAATCAGAAAAATACTAATCAGTACA